TTTCGCGCCAAAACTTTCACGTGCTCGTACGCGCGGCCCAGACGTGCGTGAGGGTTGAAACTGCGGACCTGAGGTGGTACCTGGCTGGGGAACACACTGGTAAAATTTCAGCTTCAAAGCTTGCGCGGTTAGCGAGTTGAAATACCCGGACAGACGAACACACACACACACACACAAACAAACACTGAGAGGGTCGTTCCAATATGCGTTTTTGCTGCCTGTTGCAGCGCTCTAGCGCTGCACGGCAAAAACGCAGGAAGGGAAGAAAAAAGAAAAAGAAAAGCAGATGGAGAGAGGAAAGGTGCTAAAGGAAAAGGGGAAATTAGAGGTACAAAAGATACCATTAGCAAAGCTTATTAATATAACCTTTTTGTATTACGCGTACTGGGCGAGAAGGCATGCATAAATCAGGCAGGTGATGGTAGTAATGGAAGGTATGCAGGCCAGGACTAAATGGCCTAGTATAGTTTGGGTCGGCATTTGGGAGTATCCCACTTACAACAATGACAGGAGAAATCCTTCTCACACTGACAGCTCCAGCACTCTTGATATTCATGATATCATGCGAACTGCCTGATAAGAGTATCTGCTAAACTTCCAAAACCAAACTTGTGTAGAGCAAACAGGGATTTTTAATATCGGAAGAAAAAGGATGACTAAGATCACCAAATTCAATTTTGACTAGTGATAAAACGAGTGACACTGTAGTTGCATTGTTCCTCTCCTGCTTATTGTTGCCTCCAGCGCCTGCTTACAAAACTTTAGGAAATGCATGGTACATTTCTTCCTCGAAGAAGCCAGTCAAATTTTGGAATTTCTGCGCAACATTTGCGGTTTCTAATGCGTTTTTCACGAGTAGTGCTGTTTATCTGAAAACTTGTTGCTGTTTCCAAAATTTCTTAAAAAGGCCATCAAGCCTTAACCCTTGTAGCAAGGGTTGTTCCAGGCGCAAGATGACTGAATTAACCAAATACATGCTGGGGTATTATATCTTGACTGGTCTTGAATTTATAACATCATTCTCAAATCCTGCATACTAATTTAAAGCTTGCTCAGACGCAAATTCATAATTCAGAGGTGTGGTCCCAACGCCAGTTTCAGCAAGCTTTCGTGAATCAAATCACAAAAATTTCCACAGTGTAATTTTGTATGTATTTTTGCATAAAACAAAAGCGGGTTAAATGTTGTAGTTTCGTAGGTGTGGGTTTGCAAGCCTCTTAGCACTTTTATGTGCATCATGATAATCAAAGTCCAGAACCACAAAATCAACAACTTCCCCCTCTCACAACTGAAATTCTGCTAGTTGTGAGAGGAGAAAGTTTTTGATTTTGTGGTTCTGGATTTTAATTTTCATGATGTACATAAAAGTACGAAAAGGCTTGCTCCCCGTTCAGAGGTTAGAATCTCGCCAGACCTAGCTGAAGCAACCAAGTCCTACGCGATGAGCAGCTTATCTTTAAAGCTCAGGTATAATTCTTGAGTGGCATATCAAATTGTGCACAGAATAGCTTGTAAATGATTAAGACTGGAGGCCGTTTGCAGTGGGAGGCCATAAACATCATCTTACCCTAAGCAGCTGGTCCAATTATTTAAGTGAAAACAACTTATCGCAAAAGCGCATGATTATGCAGTTATCTAGGTGCATACTATTATTTACTTCCATGTACTTTTTTGAGTTTTTTGCAGCTATGCAATGCAGAAAATGCATATTGACGAGAGGTGTCTGCGTGTGTGTTTTTGTATCTGTTTGTTCGTCTGTACGGATTTTTCATCTCGAGATCTACAAAAGCTACGGAGCTGAAATTTTGGAAACTTAATCTATGTGCATGTGCGGGCCCCCATCCTCAAAATGGGCACTCTTACCCGCGTGTTGCCCACGTACGAGCCCGCCAAAGTTTTTTACGGGTAAGCTGCTAACTCGGGAACCAGAAATGCTGGGAGGCCGAAATTTTAAGAGGACGTTCCCCGTCCAAGTAGGATTAATGAGCTCAAACCCAACCCTCGGGTAAGCGTGGTACTCACGTACACGCCCGCCGAAATTTTTTTCGAGTAAGTCGCTAATTTGCGGATCTGAAAAGCTAGAAGACTGGAATTTTGAAGGGATGTTTCCCAACAGTTTTGGCGGTCGGTCTGAAATTCTTTTAGCTAGAAGCATCTGTCGGAAAAACTAGTGCCGTTAACGACAAAAATCTGCAGGTGGCTATGCAAAAAACGCATCTTCGTACGGGCAGCTCGTGCGTTGGCCAATTATTTATTTCTGGAAAAAATTTTTGATCGTTCAATCAATTCCAGTTGATTATGTGGACGCCAGTCTCTTTAATGGGCACTAAAAATCCACGATCCACTTCTGACAGCTTGCGAATTTGCTAAATATTTGTGTGTTTGTATTTGTATGTATGTATGTGAATGTCTGCAGCGAGCATATCAGCCCCTTCGTACGGTTCGTGGTTGGCAAAACCGTCAGTGTAGCAATAAAAATTTATGTAAAAAAAGGACGAAATGCAATTCGGTGTAGCTAAACTACGCTGGAAAGCGCTAAACGGAGCTGAGGGCATGGCAGATTCAGGCAGTGATTTGGTGGAATATAGAAGAGAGATATAAAGAAGGTGTGTGAAGCGTCGGAGTCCCTCATACCGAGACTTTTGTATAAATTATCAGAAAATGGGGATTTCATTTTGTTTTGTGAAAAAAAAAAGAAAAAAAACCCAGACTGGAACGCACCAGGCAGGCCGGTGCTATAGCAATATTGCATGGAATCACAGTAGCCAGAATTTGTGACATACTGGCTTTCAAAGTTCAGGAAGCTAATTGTGCAGCCATGTCAGTTGTGGATGTCGGCTTCCGCGACCCGACAAACGGAAAGTTGCTGGTGCGTGAGAAGAGTTGAATTTGAAATCTTTTAGTCGCACATGAGTAGGGAACATTCTCCCAAAATTTCAGCTTCCTGGCTTTTCTCGTTCCCGAGTAAGCAGTTTTCCCGTCAGAATTTTCGCGCATCCGTAATTGAGTTCCGGGCAGTTCTCAGCAGCTGATTTGAAATTTTCTGGACGTATATGAGTATCGAATATTATCCCAGAGCTTCAGCTTTCTAGCTTTTCTCGCTCCCGAGTTAGCGATTTTTACGCCGTAACGTTCATGCACCCGTACATGAGACACAGACGTGTATGACAGTTGATATCACGCTCCTGACGTCGCACTTGGCCAGCGAACACACTTGCAAAATTCCAGTAACAAAGCTTGCGTGACTGGAGAGTAGAAATACCTAGGCAGACGAACAAACAC